GAAGTTATAATAACAGAAAAGAGAAATATAAAATAAATAAATACACAAAAGAAAAACTTCTCTTACACAGAATTGTTAATAAGATAATAAATAATTAAATAACATAAAAACTTATAATACCCCTCCTCCCCCTCTTACAGTGAAGGTTCCAAGTGTTACTTTTTTACTTTACTTTACTTTTATCCTCGTTAGCCGCTTGGGCGGTAGATCACATCTCCGTTACTCACTGTTGGCAAGTACTGGGTATGCACTAGCTCCTGAATGTATCTGAACCCACTTCAGTGTTGGTCAAATCTGGTCTTGAAAGAGCTCACACTCGGTGCCGTCACAAGACTTTCTGGAAAGTTGTTTCAAAAGTTCACAATTCTTCCTCAGTACAAGTTTGCCTCACAGTTTTCTGGATTCGCAGTTTTTCAACCTTGAGCTCTGATTCCTTGTGGGGCGGGTGTCCTCCACCTCCAGGTATGGACACTCAACTGAGTAGTGCCCTCTTGAGATGTTTAAACACCTCAGTTAGGTCACCCCTTGTCCGTTTATAGTATAAGCTACGCAGTTGCAGGCGCTCTAAAATCTCTGGGTAGCTGAGGAGCAGAAGTGCAGGCACCAATCTGGTGGCCCTCCTTTGGACATTTTCAATCAACAGAGAAAAGCACCTCACTCTTAAAGATCGCTACGAGGGACTGACTGTCTAGACATGTGAACGACCTTCTTATAAGACCTAATAATTTAGTTGCTTGATGCACCTTCTTCTCACAATGGTCGAGAACTTCAGTTCATTGTCAACACACACACGCAGGTCCTTTTCACATTCCGTCTCTATTAATACAGTTTCTTCGTTTCTTTGGGACATATGATACGACCCAGGTGCATCCTCTTACACTTCGTGACATTGACTCTAAGCAGCCATTTCTTCGACCATTCTTGAAGCTCACAGAGATCTTTCTGCAGCTCTTCACAGCATGATTGGTTCTTAATTTCCCTAAATACCTTGGCATTGTCCGTAAACATTTGAATGGAGGAGTGTATAGCTTCAGACATGTTATTTATGAAATAAATAAACAATAACGGCCAAAGACACTACCCTGTGATACCCTGCTTGTCACGGGTACACATGAGGGTTTCGTACCATTAATCACCAAACACTGCTTTCGATCATGCACAAAGACTTCGATCCACGCTAGGACACTTCCCCTTAAATTTAATTATCAGCCCTTCATGGGGGATGCTGTCGTAAGCCTTGGTAAAATCAAGATATATATTGTCAATATTGCTACCCTGTTCCAGAATTTGGGTCAAAACATCCAGTACCTTCAGTAATTGTGTTAAGCAGAATCGATCCGGCATAAAACCGTTTGCATTCGTTTACAAGGTTGTTTCGTAATAGATGTTCCATCACGGAATCTCTTATAAAGTTCTCAAGTAGTTTACACACTATACTGGTCAGGCTCACTGGTCTATAACTATTCGTGGAATGACGATCACCCTTCTTGAAAATAGGACTCACATAAGCCATTTTCCATTCACTGGGGGCATTTTGCTCATCCAGGCACCTACAGAACAGATTCTTCAGGGGCTCAGCAAGCTCTTTAGACAACTCTCTTAGCACTCTGGGATGTACCATGTCAGGGCCAGGATTCTTATGAACTTTTAGCTTTGACAATTTATCTCTTATAACCTCTTCTGATAATACAATGTGGGTCAGCGATGTGTCATCCTTTCTTGTGAACGCCGAGGAAAAGAAACTGTTCAATGCCTCCGCCTTGTCCTGGTCAGAGTCTGCGCAACTAGCATCTTCAAGCCCCAGGTCCGATACACTTACTCGCGTTTTTAATTTCGACTTTGCGTAACGGTAAAACGCCTTTGGTTTTGTCTTGACCTCGCTCGCAATCCGCCTCTGGATCTTTTATCAGCCCTTCTACTCTCTGACTTTGCTTGGTTCCTGGATATGGCATTCATCCTCCTGTCTTGCTCATCATTTGTCCTAACCCACACCTCGAATTTCTGAGTTTTCTTTTTAACTTTGTCGACCGCCGCATGGTTCATAAGAGTGTCTCTGGTGGGTGAGCGAGGCGGAAGGTATGCCACACAGATTATGATGGAAGCAGTGTGGCGCGGGTGGGCCCGTGGCACAACACGTACCTATAATGCTTCCACATCTGCTGGACTTGAACATCCAGGCGTGACGGGCGTAGGTCATCTTGACAGAAGAGGGCAATGCCCCCTCCGCGTCTATGTGAACGAAGGTGATGAAAGAGTTGATATCCCTCAATATGACACGTTTCAGGCACAATTTGCCAAGCCTCACATATGGCAACGACGCTCGCGGCGGCTGACCTGACTGTAGTTGCCAGCTCGTCAAACTTGTTAGCTAGGGAAGTGACGTTGGATAGCAGTAGAGACGGGAGATCATACCATATCCATGGAACTTCAGTGTAGTGGTACGGTCTGTCAGGGGTGGGTTTCTCCGGTTTCCTAGTGGAGGTTACGGTCCTAATGGGCTTATGTGTATGACGGCCCTGTCTACGGCTATGCGCGTGGAATATGTTTAGTGACTTGAGTCGCGCGATAACACTGCCATCAGGATAACCGTTCCCACGCTTTGGGATATACCAGGGTGCAGGGCCAACCGGCTCGGCCTGTACGCCAAAACCCGGAGCCCCTACAGGGCGTGTCTTGCCTCACTGGTGGTTGCAGGTGTGTGGCCACGTGGCCAGGACAGTAGCTTGGGGCGATGCAGGTGTGCTCCAGCCTTCAGCTGTGTGTGTTTGTGTGTGTGTCCGCACGAGAATCTCGGAAACTACTTTACCTATCTATAGTGATGATGGATGGTGTTATATGTAGTGATGATGGATGGTGTTATATGTAGTGATGATGGATGATGTTATATGTAGTGATGATTAGACAATAAAATAATAACAGTTTAATGCTAAAAAAATATACTTTGCTGTACCGTTGTAGTGAAAAACATAGTGAAACTTACATACACCGTTAATGAACTATTGATCTTTGGCCCTACACGGAGCTACATGTATTCCATTGAGTGGCAGAAACGAGGTCTACCACATGCCCATGTCTTGATCTGGCTGAATTATTACATTATAAATAGTGATTTTTTTGTGGAGGAGAAGGGAGGGGAGGAGAGGGGGGAGGAGGGGAGGGGAAGGTAGGGGAGGGGAGGGGAGGGGAGGGCTCCCAATATACTAGATATGCGTGTGAAAAAAAACCACATTATTCATTCATTATTATTTGGGCTCAACATCATAAGAAAGGATTAAAATATTAGAGTTGTTAAGATATAAGGTTATAACTACCATTCATATATAAGACTTCAGATGATATACTATAAACACTTTAATATGGTAAGGTTTAATAGTTAAAAGTGTCTTTCTCTCTCAATCTTTTATACAATTTCCTCTGTTTCTTTCCTTAGTAATTCTCCAATGTATATATTCTCTTTCTTTTCCTCTCTTTGTGGATGTGGAAATGTTGTAAAGTCCTCAACTGAGCTCACTAACATGGTCTACCCAAACATTATCCACCACTACAAGGATCACAAGCGGCTGCGTGAACGCGCAATTCTGGCACCAAAGAATGAAACAGTGGCTGAAATCAACATGACTCTACTCAGAGAGCTTCCAGGCAGTGAGACCTCATTCAAATCTGTTGATACAGTAATCAACCAGGAACAAGCAGTCCGGTACCCTGCAGAATTCCTTAATTCTTTGGAGCCCGCTGGAATGCCTCCTCACCACCTTATTCTCAAGATTGGAACTCCTATAATGCTCTTAAGAAATCTTGAACACCAATCCTCTGCAATGGCACAAGACTGGTGGTGAAGAACATGATGCCACTATACTGGAAGCTACAATACTGACAGGAAAAGCTAAAGGAGAGGACGTTTTTATACCACTGACCTGCCATTTGAGTTCAAGCGACTTCAGTTCCCGGTTAAAGAGAGCTTTGCCATGACCATCTACAAAAGCCAGGGACAGTCCCTAATACACTTTCGGTATTTCTTCTCCTACCTGTCCACCACTGTGGACATCGATGAAGAGATTCAGCATCGGATCAGATGTGCATCTCAAGCCCTTGGCAGATTCCGAAACCGTGTCTTCGAGCAGTGGTCCTCCCCACCCTGCTACATTGCAGCGAGATATGGGTTACATACAGGAGACACATCAAGGCACTTGAAAACTTTCATCAACGTAGTCTAAGTTCCATTCTCCGAGTTAAATGGGAAGAAAAGAGAACATAAGCTAATATTCCTGCTGACACCAACATTAGTAGCCTCGAGGCTGCCATTATCCGTGAACAGCTACGCCGAACTAGCCAGCTCCGTTACAGTCACCTAACGAACAGTAAACATACATCAGGCGGGCAACTGAAAAGGTATAAGGATAATCTTAAGACAAACCTGAAAAAGTGCCAAATCAACCTCTCACCTGGGAGATGATTACTTTGCAGTTAGCCTGACTGCATAACAAGGCAGACAAGTGCCAACGCCGGAAAGACGCTTGCTACCGACCCTCCCGCACTAGATGTAGCTCCTCACGTGTGCAACATCTGTGATCGTCCCTGCAGGTCCCGTATCGGCCTCCTTAGTCACCTCAGAACTCATCAACCAAGGTGGCATCCTTAATAACTCATATCATTGTATCATAGCTGGATGAATGGATGATCGTCATACTCGATTCTAAGTGACAGCAAAGTAGTAGTTGTAATAGTAGATTTTTTATCCCATGGCCGCATGTCACCGTAACTTAGCTCTCGATGCTGCACACAGGAGGAACGAGAACGACAAGGTAAGGGAATAAGGGGAGAGAATTCAGAACGTTGATCAAGGCAGCTTCACTCCTCTAGTGTTCACAACTTCTGGTGGATGGGACTAAGTGCAAGATGCTTCTATGCCAGACTCGCGGAGGCGATATCCAAACAGAAACAGCAGCCCAGAAGTTATGTTACAGCCTGGATGAAATGTCGACTGTCCTTCTCTAACAATGGCATTCAACATCATAAATATGAAAATCAAGTGCCACTCGAGCGAGATACTAACCCACAAAAGACCTCCCCTCACTACTTAATAATGTGACAGCCTGTTCACACAGTATTTGGTCTGTGCAGTAAGAATTAAAGCCATACAAACAGCCAGAGAGTAACATAGACAAATTAACACACACAATGTCTGACTATAATGCCCATCCACTCTATTATAGAGCTTTTATAAAAAAAATATATTAATTGAAAAAAACATCGAAACCCTACGGAAAACAACCACTCTTTGTCCTAATTACAATAATAACACCTTAATTCTAAATTTGCTTTGGTATAAGAAGTAACCAGATCCATGTATATTCAAGTAAGTTTACTACATATAACACCATCCATCATCACTACAGATCGGTAAAGTAGTTTCCGAGGTTCTCGTGCGGACACACACACACAAACACACATACAGACATACTTCTATATATATATATATATATATATATATATATATATATATATATATATATATATATATATATATATATATATATATATATATATATATATATATATATATATATATATATATATATATATATGGTTTACACATTTAATTCAGTTGAGAATTTAACTTTCGGGAGAGGTGTCATGGCCTGCTTAGAGGTCGCCTGAATCTGCAAGGCGAGATCAGTCTTCAGATCACTTTTGGGTTCAGATTTTACCTCTGAATCAGAGACCTGAAAGACGGCGAAATAAGAGCAGAAGTTAGAGAGGAATTGAAGGGTGGCGTTGCGGTACTGTTGGCTCATGGTCACATACACTATGGGGTCGACGCAGAACTGGAGCCAGAAGATTAAGTGAAGGAGGAGCCAGACGGTAGGAAACTTGTTGTGGAGGTGATAGATGTGGATGACTATGTGCGGCAAATTGCAGGATAGCAGCACGACAAAGACGACGAAGATGGTGCGGGTGACATGATCGTCCCACTGGCGAAGGACATTGTCTTCAGCATTCTCAGTAACACTCTTGCATCGACGTCGGGCCAGCCTCGCCTCTCTTGAGTGACGCACCTGCCCATATCACAAATACCATTAATTTAGAAGACAAAAATTCAAGGAATGTTACAGTACTCCTTAAGGTTAAAAAATTGTTTTATGTCTAGAAACTAATATTTAAAGTACAGTACAAAGACCCAGGCCACTGAGACACCGAAAATTAAAAAAAAACTCTTAGCAACGAAAATATATTCATTATATTTCTCAGATTTTAACTACGTCAAGTAGCTCTTTAAATGTTAAGCTTGAGTGACTAAAAATAACTTTGTAAACACATACTGATGACATAGTTCACAATATATTAGTATCCATTTTTTCATCATATCGTGTGGTTTACGTTTTTGTTTTTATGAAAATTCAAGTTTTGAAATCTGAGTTATGAGTGTTGTGGAAGGGAATAAATAAACACTTAATTGAGAGAGAGAGAGAGAGTTTACCTTAATGTACATGTTGACGTAACAAACACTAGTAAAGATGGTGGGGAGTATGAAGGTGAAGAACACGTGTATGGCTTTCTTCAGTCTGCTCCCGGAATTATCCTTTATCGACACCATCAGTTCCACATTATCAAACTCCAATTGGCCAAATACCTGTATGTTCAAACAGATACATTTATCCTGTTCGAAAATATACAGACTTTGGTAGAGAATAGATGCAGAAATTTTAATGGTGCCTATGGCGAAAGGGTCACAAGCCATCATCCTTAAGGGTAAAATAATTATCATCAAAGTATTAAACTAGTATTATCAAAGGGTTAAACCATCATTCTTATAGGGGTTAAAATCATCCTAAGAGTTTTAAAATACCTTTTTCAAAACGGTTAAGCTATCATCCTCAAAGGAATAATCATTATTTTCAAAGAGTTAAACCATTATCCCCAAAGGGTTAAATCATTATATTCAATAGGTTAAACCATTATTCTCAAACGGTTAAACTTTCTTCCTCAAAGGGTTACCATAAATGTCAAAAAAGAAAAATGAGGTTTGAAGTGAAGGTGAATCTCGTAGGTCTGATGGCCTGTTATGGCCAGAGTACAAACAGAACATTAAAATATATTTTTCAGTAGGTAAGGAGGCAGTATAGTCGGCACTATTCTTGATCACCTTTAATTCCCCAACTAGAAAGACTGGTACAATGAGAAAATGAAATATCATCCGGTATTTTGACAAATACATCGCAAAACGGTTGAACCATTCGACACACGCATGTGTGGATCCCCGTGGAACCTTGGAAAGGGGTCACCATTGACACCATTCACTGTGTTTGAGTAGTCAGGTTACATTTTATACATCGGTCAAAGCTTGGAAGATAATTCATTCTCTCACTGTTCCTCTAAGCACAACCAGATGAACTGAAGCACTGGGCCCGAACCAGCGACTCTGAGAGCACAAGGTTGGTATAATGGCAGCGCGCATAACTCTCACCAATGCGATCACGGGTTCAAACCCCCAAGTCAGATGTGAGAAGGGTGTTATCCAGTGTGAACCCTACCAAACGTCATCCCCCCTTTCCTTTCTTTCATTTGTCCTACTTCGCTGTCTCTCTACCTTGCCCACCTAACCTCTAACATCCACCCCCCTCCCCCCCAAAAAAAACAACCCCTTCCCTCTTAATTCCTAAAAAGCACAGGAGTGAGTTAGATATATTTCAAGCCATCCCTTTGTAGGCGTGTGATTCCTACACGGTGATAGTGTGCCACTCAAATAATAATAGTAATAATAATAATAATAATAATAATAATAATAATAATAATAATAATAATAATAATAATAATAATACCAATTAAACTCGTATCTGAATTAGGTTTGAGAGAGATAAAGTGTTTACAGGTTGCCAAAGTAGGAAGACAATTGTGGTTAAAACCACTTCTAGGTACCAAGCGAAAACTGGAAACGTGTGGGAGCAACGAAACAGTTTGTGCGTTCATGGAATTTACTAGGACACACTAGACTATTTGAAACTCAGTATGGTGTTATCGTATTATCGTTCACCAGCCAGCCAGCCAGCCTGCCACCGTCATATATCTAACCGAGAGCTTTATTTCACCGACCACCACATGGTCAACTAACAGCTCTTGACGCCTGGCATTATGAGACCAATTCCCTCAGTGAATGCTACTTACGTCAGTAAACCAAACCCAAGTTAATGTACGTTAGGTAGTAATTATTAGTAAATTGTCGAAGCATTAATGCCAAAGCGTTTTTACTATTTATTTGAGTAAAATGCATATAATTTATTAATAAACAAATAAACAGGTTACTACTCAAAAAACTGTTTTCTTAATAACTCTAAACAAACATGACATCATTTAGAAAACAATACGTTTTTACTTTTTATTTGTCAAGCAATGTTTTGTTGGTACTCACCCCGAAGGTAAGAGGGAGCCAGAGTAGGGCGGAGTAGACCCAGATTATGATCAAGTAGTAAATCACCTTCTTTTGTTGCATCACTTGCTTGTACAACATTGGGTACGCCACAGCTAGCAGTCTGCACCAGGATTTTACCAATTACTTCACATTTCAACTTAATGTGATTTAATTTTTATCAAGAATTTTACAATTTAGATTAATAATGTCTTCAGTAATATATTTCGTGATATTTATACGTCAAATCACATTCCAAATTAATAAAATTAACATATTCCGTATACCTTACAGATAGGATTATCTTAGCTATGAGACAAATCTCTTACCTGTTGAAGGCGAGTGCGCAGATGGTGTGTATGTGCACTTGACCTAGTATGAGGCCTATTGTAGAAAATATCAAGGACAATTCCTTTGAGAATGTAACATCGCCGTACTGTTGAGCTTGCAGACACACGACTCCATACATAGGCATCCCGAAGGCACACACGGGTAACAGGCAGACAAGAAGGTTGACCATGAACGCTGTGGAAGGACTCTGACGGAGTTTCTTGCTCATCAGGAGAGCCAAGGACCCGAGAGAGTTACCTTTAAGGTTTGAGAGAAAATATATTAGTGAGTGGTAGCTCAGTCGAGTTGGTGCTCTGATGAGCAGTTTAATGCTTGTAAATTTATACCGTGTCTTTTGAGACATAGAATAACCATTAATATATATGTTTATTGATGAAGGAAGCGCGACCAAACATTAAATAGAACAAGTTAAAATCTAAGAATGTATATTCTCAAGCCTTTAACAAACTGGAATAATATTTCGCCTTGGTCAATCTTATGAACAAATCTCGTAAGATTGTCTCCTGCGATGGCCAAGAAAATGTGCTTAGTTGTCACTCGCTCCAAGTTAGCTTATATTAGGTTCAGTTAAGTAATGTTTCTCGCGAGTCATTCAAGTCTCCGCCATCACGAGAGACAACGTGACGAAATTGTCCGTATGATTAGCCTCTATCATGATATTTTTCTATCATATTTCGGTGATGAAATTAAATCATTCCCTAGTTGTAATTATGTACCGTAGCCTTCAACGTGCATTATAACATCGTTTTATATTCCACAGTAAAACAAAAATCTTTATAATCTTAAATCCACTTCAATTGAACAAAAACAGTTTTATGGAGACCGAAATCCTGCTAGACATTAGTATACTGGAAATGTCTCACTACACACAAAATCCAAAGACACAAACATAGTACCATTTTTTTTTACTTCAGTTATTACCACAGGGTCGATTACTGTAGCCTGTGATAATTTAACCTATACTGAAAAGATTCGAATTACAATGTTGAAAGATGCTTATTTGTCAAGTAGTGAAGAAAGCCTACCAAATCTTACGTTCGGTAAAGGTTGTATATTACGCCTCACGTTTATCTCTCTCGTATCCTGTGGTATTTCTAAGGAGTGACATAACTCCTCGTATCTACTTTATGCTAAGAGTGATGTGAGTTCTGATGACTTACACGTCAGCAGTTTTTTCTCTCCCTACCTCGAGAGAGGGAGTAACAGTTTCTTCATACCCTTCTAATGAGTCGTGTCTTCTTTTGTGTATTAATGGGAACATAATTACTGTATAGTCAAAGCTTTTGAAACTAACTGTTTTTCAAGAATCTGTTGCTCTGTTATCAATGGCGGAACTGGACAGGTGAGTGTGGGTGGTGGTGAGTATGAGTGGGTAAGGTGTGTCGATGTTTCCGATAAGCGTTGATGTTGTTGTTGAGATTGTCGGACCGTAGTCCGACACGGGCCTTTGCCTATAGGCGGCCCGTTTGGTGGTTCCGGCTGGAGCTCCTGGAGCAGCCAGACCGGATTGGGATTGGAGGTGGTCCCACCTGCAGATTTGGAAGGATACTGCAGGTTGCAAGTGTGAGCGGACCCCGATCAGTGGACGCTTACCACCAACCCCCACTCTTGGACGTGGTCAGTTTCGGAGTGGCGCGCCCCCCGAACTGGGGTCCGCACTTGCTGGGAGAGGATACTTTCTAAGCTATCTGGGTGGTGGGTATCGTGTGATGACCCGGAGAAGGTGGTGAATGTGGTTTGTTTGGGCCTTTCGGGTTAGAGTGGCCGCTGGTGTTGTGTGTGCTTCTTGGGAGATTTGAGTTCTGTTTCGGAGGCTTTGTGTGACTTCGCAGTCGAGGAGATAGTGTTCAAGTGGGTTGGCTGCTGGCTCCTGACAGTAGGTGCATTCCATGACGTCATTTCCGATCATCTGCCAGGAGCACTTGTACCCTAGTCGTAGTCGATGAAGGCTGACTTGGGTTTGTCTTGGTGTTTTCTTGTCCGCGAAAGGTGGTTCCCCTTTTGTAGCCGCCAGGTACCATTTGGCTGATTGGGAACCAGCGTTGAATGCGTGAAGGAAGCTCTTTTTGATGTGGAGCTTGCTAGTCTTTCTGAGGTGATTCTTGATCTGTTGCACGCTTGCTGGAACTTGAATGTGTACGCTACTAGAACGTGTAGCTGCCTTGGCTGCTTCGTCTGCCACGTCGTTTCCTCCGATCCCTACATGACTGGGAATCCAGTGTAAGACGACTGGGCGGTTTTGTCTTTGGAATTCCTGTAGCTGTGCGAGGATCGAGGTTATGATGTGGACGTTGTCTCTTGGTTGACTGTGTTGCAGCGCCTGCATGGCCGATTTCGAGTCCGTGTGAATTATGATGGACTTGTTGTGTTGTGTTGCAGCGTGTTGTAGGGCCTTTGAGATTGCTACCAGCTCTGTTTGTAGGGTGGAGCAGTCATTAGAAAGTCTCCATCGGAGGGTCTGACCTTGGGTGTAGAAGGCCGCTCCGGATGTATGATGTTTTGGATCCACCGAGCCGTCTGCGAAGTATGATGCTGCATCAGCCGGTGTCTCGGTGGCTATGGCTTCCAGAGTTATTTTTTTGAGGTCCTCCTTCTGGAGGTTGGCTTTACTATCGCCTAGGTCGGTAATTTTGAATGTGGCTGGTGGAGGGCTCCATGGTGGAGGAACTACGTAACCATTGTCTCGTGTGTCTTGGTTGTTCTTGACGAGTGTTTCTCCTTGCAGGTGTCGGATGACCTCGCTTGCCTCGTGCGACCAGGTGGCCCCTCGGATTCTGTGGTCGAGGTGGAGGGAGGCACTGATGCGAATTTTGGCAGCTGTGGGCTTATCTGATCTACAGATTTTGGCGAGGAGACCGGCTGTCACTTGCTTGATTCGTAATGCCAGGGGTGGTAGTTCAGTTTCCATTTGCAAATTGCAAATTCTGGTCCACATGGGTGCTCCGAGCATGGTCCTGAGAGCATTATTTTGGATGACTTCTAGCTTAGCTATTTGGTCTTCTCTCAGTCCAATGAGTGCTGGAGCACTGTAATCTACCAGCGATCTGATGGCGGCCGTGTAGTAGGCTTTGAGCACATGAAGGTTTGCTCCTGCGGTTGTGCTGGTGAGCGACCTCATTATATTGTGTCTGCTCTTCGTCCTGTGCCTGAGATACTGGAGTTGCGGCTTGAAAGTCAGTTTCTGGTCAAACCAGATTCCAAGACACTGGTGGGTGTTGGTCCAGACTACAGGCGTGTTTTGTATGGAGAGCATCTTGTCTGATGTGTTTGTGCAGATGGCCATCGCTTTCGACTTGGCTGGATTTATCTTGAGTCCAAGTCTGTTGCGCTCCTCTTCTATAAGTTGGAGTGCGTGTTGCGTGTTGGCTAGTCTGTTTGATCCTCTTACTATAAGCTGTAAGTCGTCTGCATAGCATAGGAGCTTGGCTGTTTGTCTGAAAGGAAGTTTGACAAGATTTTCCATCAGGACATTGAACAGCATTGGACTGAGGATGCCTCCTTGTGGGGTTCCGTTTTCATGGACCCTGTAGCTTGAGGTTGCTCCCTGAAAGCGTACTCTTGCTTCTCTCTGTGTGAGGTAGTTCTGGATCCACCCCAGCAACCTTCCTTTGACGCCTTTTTCAGCGAGCGTCGTTGTAATGGCCAATGGATTTGCTAGTTCGAAGGCCTTCTCCAGGTCGAGGAAGACCACCAGAGCTGGTTTGTAGTCCACTGTGCTGAGTATCTCTGCGATGTTGTTGCCTGTGCCGGTGTTCTCGGTGTAAGCAAAAATGTGTGGGTGTGGGCTGCCTACTTTCCACTTGAGTCGGTTGAGAGCCATTCTTTCTCCCGTCTTCGCTATGCAGCTGAGAAGGGAGATGGGCCTCGGTTTGTCTGGTTCTCTGGGCTTCGGAATGGGCTGTATATCTACCTTCTTCCATTCCGGTGGGAGTCTTTGTGCTGTCCACGAAGCATTGATGACTTGTAGCAAAGCCTCGTGTCCGGCTTTACCGGCATGGGAAAGCATGGAGTAGGTTATCCTGTCGGCCCCTGGTGCTGTGTCCTTGCTTCGTTTTAGCGACTTCTGGAGTTCTTGCTGGTTGAATGGTCTGTCGGTGTCATCTTCACTGTTGCAGGCCTCTTCGATCATCTGGAGTCTGGCCTGTCGCAGACGCCGTTGTGTCTCCTCCGCCTGTCTCGGGAGGTTTTTCGTTGCTGCTCGGTCAGAGAACAGTTTTGCAAGTCTCTCGGCTTCCTCTTCTGGGTTGGGATGGGTTGGTGGTGGTGGTGTTGCCTTCCCAGATGCCCTTCGAATCTGGGCCCACATCTTGCCAAGGGAGGTGTGCTCGTTCAGTTCGGAGCACCACTTGAGCCAGCTTACGTTTTTTATTTCTTCCTTCTCTTCCCTGGTATCCTTAACTATGACTTGCAGGAGATGTCTGTTTGTTTCCGTGAGATGTCTCCTGTAGTTTCTTCGGGCCATGTTCACTCTGTGGTTGAGTTCTTTCACCCTGGGACAGTAGTACTAGTAATCATTGTACTGTCTTGATGTGGGTTTTGTTTTTGGGATAGCCTCTTCTGCCGCTTGGTGAAACGCCTCGACCAATTGTTGGTGGAGGGTTGTCTCGTCCACGGGTGCTGCGCCGGCCGGCTGTGATATTCCGCGCCACTTAGCCAGGTGTTTCTTAAAGAGTCCCCAGTCAGCCTTTTGGGTATTGTATCTCCATCTCGGCGGGGGTGGAGTGGGGAGTTTGTTCACCTTCAGCGTTGTTAGGGTGGCGAAGTGGTCGCTGGTCAGCGTGGGGTGTAGCTGCCAGGAGGCCGAAGGCTGTAGTGCACTGGAGACGAAGGTTAGATCTAGCCTTCCTCCTCTAGTGTGGGTGGGCTTTCCGGTGTTCAGGAGGCAGATCTCGGGTGTGTCTTGAAAGGTGGTGTATAGGTGTAGGCCGTCTTCATTTGTGGGGCTTACCGAGCTTAGGAAGGGATGATGTGCGTTGAAATCCCCTCCTATGAGTGTGGCGTGGTCAGCGGCCGAAGCGAATAATTGAGTCACCTCCAGTGAGCCCCTTGGGTTCTTGTAAATGTTGTGAACAGTTAATTCCCGTTCTTGGAGGATTACTTTGACGGCCTGTGTCTCGATGTTTTCCCCACATGGAAATTGCTGCGTGACCTCTGAGGAGGGTATGCTTGACTTGACCAAGATCATACATCCTCTTGTTGACGCCTGCGTGAAATGCCTCCTGTATGTCTTGTAACCA